ATCCAAACTAATCATGTTGAAACGGCTACGATTCTACAGACTCTTGTTTGCTCATTGTGTGGAAGCCTTGGAAGGCTGTGGAAACACAAGTTCTTTTTTTTATAACATCAAACCAGAGCATGCTAGGGTGGGAAAGGATGCACTTAAAGAGATTGAGCACTGGGAATCCCATGGTAAACTTCCAAAGGAAGTTCGGGGATTGGCGGAGGCCTATTGCAAGATCTGTCAAGTGATGGGCAAGCACTTGCTGTGAGCCTGCTTGCTTGGAACACGATGATCGTTGGAGAAGAACATCGTCTCCTGCGTCAACGTCGACCGAGCACTGCCCCTGTGCCCGAGCGTAAAGCTTCGAAACCAAGATCTTGGTTTACTGGAACTCGATGCTTGGAGCCTGGGCCATTTCGAGTGCATGCTCTTGGACGGTAGCAGGCCAAACGACATTGTTGGCGGTTGCCTGTACAAGACCTCAGTCGTTGATCACAGTGTCCAGCACGAGAAGGATCATCTCTATGCAATGGTCGATGGCCGGTTATCGGAGCTGAGGAAAACTCAGTGGTTGGCAGCATGCCAGAAAAGATCATATGGACATCTCTACGTCGACAGAGCCGACCAAAGGCCATCTCACTCCAGAAAAATTGACGCAGAAGGCTCTTTTTCGCAAGAAAAGAAGCCTGAGGGCCACCCCGGTTGTGGTAGCCTCGGCTCCATTACCGCGCTAGCTCCCCGTGTGTGTGTGTGTGTGTGTGTGTTGTAAATTTTCGTCCAAGATCACTCATGAATCTAATATGGGAAGAGGTAAGCTACACAAACTCTATTACCAAAGTCCATCTATCCAACCAAGACTTGTGCTCATTCAGTGTTACGGTCATATGCTCGTCTTCTCTTGGGATTCACCTTGAATCTGAGCTCACCGTACCGCTTGATCAGCTCCTCCACACCCCCCACTTGAAAGTTGAAGAGATCCACGCACGCATTCCCTGGCCAAGCGGAAATCTTGTTGAAGCCGCCACACGCCGCGATCATCTTTCCCGCTTCCAGCTGCACGACAAGTTCGTCATACTTCTGCTGATCAAAAGGACCACAGTTTTCATTGAAAACAACATCCGGCGTGCTCAGGTTCTTGTCCACCAGCGGCTCATACTCGCAGCACCTGAAATCGAACAACTCCTCCCACTCGTGCGCCAGCACCCGCGCATCAAACACCAGCCGCGCCTGCATGTCCAGCGACACAACACCACCGAACAGGTCCCGCTCCACCCAAGAAACCAGCTCTTGCCGAAACTTTCGCGATCCCGGGCCACGCCCTCGGATCTCACGGGGTATGCTGGGCTTGGCCCTGATGTACTTGATCAGAGGCGGGCTAAGCAACGGCATCTCCTGCTGCTGCTGCTGCTGCTGGAGCTCTTCCTGGACTGCCTCTATCGATGTCGGCCTCCTCTTGTAGCTGTCGACGCAAAGGCGAACGTTGGTGTAAGTGAGGTCGTCACTCCAAATACCGTAGTAGCACAACTCGTCGTCGCTTAGGTACGACGGCCTCTCCCGGACAATGGCGTTGGCGGCGGCGTATTCTCTCACATTGGCCTGCTTGCAGGCATTGCTCCACACCCGCTGGATCCTGTGTTCTAACCTGCACAGAGCGAAGTCCACAACGCCGTAGAAGGCCGAGTACTGCCACTGCCTGTGACCCAGATTGTCGAAAACTTGACCCAAAATCACAGACTCATCCCAGAGCTTTCTCCTGAGTTGTGCCGCCATATCCTAGGGCACGATGCTTTGTGAGTTTAGCTAAAAAGGATTAATCATAGCTTTTTCCTATATAAAACCTAGTATTTCCCCAGCAAATGCTGGGCAGTTTGTGTTGTTTAGTTTGCATTTGTTTTTCTTTTCCTGCTGAATAGCAAGGGAAAAGCTATTGGTGAGATCTTCCACAAAAAAGACCCAGATTGTCCAGTACTAGATCCAAAATCGCAGACTCATCCAACGTTCTCCTGAGCTGTGCTTTAGGGCACGATGCTCAAAGATTAGTCGTTGTGATTAAGTATGTTTAGTTATGTAGTATTAATTAACTTAAAGAGCCCTAAGTAGAAAAGCTTAGAGAGATTTTAATTTGATTTTTTTTTCATACCAGCATAGAAACGAAAAGGAAAGCTTTAGAATTTCTGCAAACCGACAAGTCACGCTCTTGGCCATTTCAACGATTTAAATGTGTGGTTGTGAGACCGGAAGGCCATCCACCTAGCACCGAAAGAATGGGCGACGAGGAGCGCAAGAGCTCCGGCAAGCAAATTGGAGGCTTTGTGTTTGCAGAGGATGGATCTTACGTGCGCACTCCTCCACCAACAGGCCCTGCGGGGTTCTTTGCGGAGGTTCCAGCCAATCCCTCGTTCATTGACGGCGTGGCGAGCCGCGACGTGATTCTCGACAAGGATCGGGGACTGTGGGTGAGAGTTTTCCGTCCGGAAGAGCTGGAGAATCGCAGCACGCTGCCCATCGTCATCTTCTACCACGGGGGAGGATTCATCTACATGAGCGCCGCGAATGCGATCGTTCACAGATTTTGCGAGACCCTGTCCAGGAAGCTGGGAGCGATCGTGGTGTCTGTGAATTACCGCCTAGCTCCGGAGCACAGGCTCCCGGCGGCCTACGACGATGGCTACGACGCCCTCAAATGGGTCCGAGGGATCGCCAAGAGCAGCAGCGATCAAGACGCTTTCGCTCACGCGGATTTCTCCAAGATCTTCGTCATGGGCGACAGCGCCGGGGGAAATCTCGCAGCCCGAGTGGCATTGCGCGCTGCCCAGGATGGAATCCCGCTCGCCGGCCAGATCCTCCTCCAGCCCTTCTATGGAGGCACGTCCAGGACCGAGTCGGAGCTCAAGCTCGGGTCCTCCAATCCGATGATCACGCTCGACACCACCGATTTCTGCTGGCTGGCGACGCTCCCCGAGGGCGCGGCCGACCGGGATCATCCATTTTGCAACCCGACGCTGGAATTGCCGGGAGATCTCGCGAGGTTGGGGGCCGGGGGACTGCCGAGAGCGCTAGTGGTGGTGGGCGGCAAGGATCTCCTCCACGATCGCCAGGTAGAGTTTGCAAGGATCTTGGAAGACGCTGGCAATGCCATGAAGCTCATCGACTATGAAAACGCTTCCCATGGATTCTACGCCGTGGGGGACGCTAGCTGCCAGGAATACGTCCTTGTCTTGGACGAAATCGCTAGCTTCTTGCGAGAGTGACCCCTGGCTAACCGCTGTGGACCCGCGTTGAATAAAGCTGACTCGGTTGACTTACGGGTTGCCTGGAGGTCAGAGGTCACGGTACACAAGCTTTGGCAGCCATTCACGAGGATTGCATTTCTTCCTTTTGTCTTTGCGGTGTCATCAGGCAGCCTTTTCTCATTCCACTGCACATTCCCTTCCAACCGGTGATGGGTGCTGGATTGGATCCAAAAGAACAATGGTTGTAGTGGAACAATGGACCAACGGATTGATGCTCATCAAAGTTTATGAATCCAAACAAATTATTAGATGTTCTTGAGTGTGCACAGGATGCCCAAGAGGAAACTGGGCTCAAAGAAGCTCCCTCGTGATGTTCCGGTTTGCTGCTTTGGTGTTGTGAACTCCATCCCAATTGAGATACGCAGATGGATTCTTACAAGTCGTTGACACCACCGTCTTCCCAGCCATCACTTTGCTCTGCCCACATTGCACCGCAAAGTTGTAGTTATGGTTCCCTCCAATCCCACAGCAGGCCTTGTTGGCAAACTGGAATCCTGTAAAGTCAACTATGGCCAGAAACACGTTGACCGGCTATGTTCTTGCTTGAGGGTGAGCGAGTATTTTATGTCGTAAGTGTTGATGTAGATTATAGTGCTGTCTGGGAGCTGGTTACGGAGGTTGCTCAAAGCCTACTTGAACAATCAAGACTAGCAAAACAGAATGACATCTCATCTCATTTCATTGTAGTGCTGCGTGATTTGGTTGAATTCGATAGCACACCTGGCTTGATCGTAGCTCACTTGGAGAACTGGGAAGTTTGTGAGGAAGTATGGGGCCCAACGTCCGAGAGCAGGAATGTTCGTCCTCCCTCGGCATACACGCCCTGTGTAGATTCAATGCAAACACACAAAAGAGTAACGAATCACTGCCCGGAAAATGCCTTTAGCTGTTCATAGCTGAAGTCGTTCCCCCTGGGTTGGGGACATCACGATTGATCGATCGAGAGAAAAAATCACTACAATGCAGCTATCAATCTTGGAGAACGGAATGGAATGGATTCGTGGCGAAACTGGTTTGAGAGAGTTGACGTGTCACCGCCAGTCGCGGGCTCGCACTCCCGAAAATTCCAAACGCGTCGCGGTTCGAATCGCCTTCCTTGTAACCATCACTTTCTTGAGGTTTAGGGCTCTTAAGGCTCCCCCCAGCTCGCAAGCAGCAGCAGCTACCGATGATCCAATTCCAGCCGCCGCCTTCCGTTCCAAGACGAATCCACAAAAGGATCCACGCCCCAACGAAAACGGGTTTCTCGATTTTCTACTACCCCTCACCGCGTCAATCTCGTCTCGGGCGTTTTTGCCAGTGCGCTTTGGAGCGCTTGGAAGGCATCGAATCGAGCTGCCATTGCTTGGCGTCATTGAAATGTTTTTTTGGCGCTTCTCTCAAGAACCCTAATATCTCTGGACGTGCAATCGGGTCGCGAATCGGGCCGCTGTACGAGCGGCAGGGCTAAGGCCGGTTCGCTGCGCAGCTCCGCCATTGTCATCCGGCACAGATTAAACGCGTACGTAGCAAGAAGAAGCAATGCTCCAAGCGTAGAAAAGGAAGATGACGAAGAGGAAGGGTAGCGGAGCTTTGAAAGTTTGCTTTGCGGGAGAAAGCCGCTCACGACATCCCTGGGTTCATCAAAGCCACCACAGCTCCCTCTTCGATTCTCCCAACTTTCTTTGTGCAATCCAACTCCCAAGCGTTGCTCCAACTCCAGAGAAAACGCGAGAGAAACCGCAGAGGAGGAGGCCGAAGACGTAGCTCCGAAGCAGCGTGGACGCGGGGCATTTACATACGGAAGAGAAAGAGATGGATTCCACAGTGATCATACGACCGCCATGGACGATGAAACTCACGAGGAGCTCACTACGTCTTCTGACGACATCGATGGAAAGTCCGGTAAGTTCGTCTCTCTTTGGATGATCAAATGTGGCGTGGTGATTCGCTGGGTAAATGGTAGTACCACTGCCTTGTCTGTTTATGGCAATCCAACAATCGGTTTGGCTAGACAAAGCAAACATCTTCACTGACGCTAATCTTTTTTTGCGCAGCGCCAGAGGCACTCGCAACCATCCATCGCCCATCTTGATTCAAGCGAAGTTCACGGCAGAGAGGTGTCCAGTTTTCTTTCTCTGGTTTCAAGCCCTTTTCCTGATCGGCCACTCTTCGTACAGACTTGGAGCCTCCGACATCTGCCCAAGCTGCTCAACGCATATGATCGTCGTGACAGAGCACAGAACAAGGTGAGATTCACGGTCCAGGAGAAGAAGGAGCACAAGCAGCGGTTGCTGGCCAGAGAGAAGCTGCGAGAAGAAACCTGGGGAGGCGATTGAGCACTCACTATGAAGTAGCTCATTGAAGAAACTTTTGTGGCCGATGAAGCGTCTTCTGGAAAGTCTCTAAGCCTTCTCGACTTCTGGCAAGCCTTGGATCTCTGGGACGGTGGAAATGGTGATCCCGCAAACCAGTAGAACGTTTGCTGCAATCATCACCGCGTGGTTGAGGTTGGTTTGTTACCACGAAAAAACCCCTCTTATCAATGAGAAACCCATTGTTGCCTTTGCTAAAACACCTACTTTGCCAAGTCAATAGACATGAGGTTTTTGTTTGTCGGGTTTCTGGGCTTATGCCATGTTATGTTTGATTTTTTGCAAGAGCGTTCCATATTGCTGGATCTCTCATCCTAGCACCACTGTCAAGATGTTTCTTGCTTCGTCCTCCAGAGTGTGTTTCTCAAGTTGGCAAGTTGCTGGCTCTTAGCAATGCAAAGGCCAGACGGGTGCTAAGTATGTTTCCATATTGCACTACTCAAGCTTGGATGAGTCATATCTTTCTTAGCAAGGCCAATTCCTATCATATTTGATGCAACAGGGGGCAAAAGTTTTCTTACGTGACTAGAGATGTTTTGCTAGATGAGAAAGCCTTCCTATGCCACTCAGATTTAACCTATTGTCTCATCCATATCAATGTCAGAGCTTGGATTGCAGATGAAATCATAACAATAAATTTCTCCAATCCTTGGCTCCTCCTCTTCCTCTACCACTATTGTCACTACAGTAGCAATAGCAAACTTGGTGGAGTGACTAAGATTTTGTGACATGGATTACTCATGTATTTGGAAATGTCTAGAATGGGGATTTGCAAAATATGATTGAAAAACATGAGAATGACCAATTTCAAACCAATTCGGGTTTGGTTTTGTATGCTGCAGATACTAATTATACATAGCTATATTGAGTATATATGGGAGTTTTTATTTGGCAATGAAAGAAAAAAGATCAAATAGCATGGAACACAATTGTGACTGTATTTGTCTAGGAAGGGCATTTTTGCAAAGCTGCAAAAGTTCAAGACAAAATACTTGAGATGAGATGGGCATTTACTCCATATTAATTCTAGATCAATTGTAAACTTGAGACATGTGCTTTATGCTTCTACAACATTCTAGAGTGGGGAACTAAGTGCATATTTGAAGTTGTACAACAAGATCTTGTTAAGATGTATTTTGCTAGAGGATGAGAATCTCATGAATTCCGTGAACATCTTGCCTTTTGGTTTTTGCAAAGTATTCTCCAAGTGACTAGTTGGGGTCTCACCACTACATTTGAATGAGAAACTTTATACATCATAACAAAATGAATCGAAGAGAAGACGATCATATGACCGCAACACCGAATGAACACAAGTCTTGGTTGGATAGATGGACTTTTGGTAATAGAGTTTGTGTAGCTTACCTCTTCCTATATGAGATTCATGAGTGATCTTGGACGAAAATATACAACACACACACACACACACACACACACGGAGCATGATGTCAGCCTTGGTTTACATTCACAAGCAGCGGTTGCTGGCCAGAGAGAAGCTGTGAGAAGAAACCTGGGGAGGCGATTGAGCACTCACTATGAAGTAGCTCATTGAAGAAACTTTCATGGCTGATGAAGCATCTTCTGGAAAGTCTCTAAGCCTTCTCGACTTCTAGCAAGCCTTGGATCTCTGGGACGGTGGAAATGTTGATCCCGCAAAGACCAGTAGAACGTTTGCTGGTGGTGCCATCGTCACCACGTGGTTGAGGTTGGTTTGTTACCACGAAAAAACCCCTCTTGTCAGTGAAAAACCCATTGTTGCCTTTGTTAAAATGCTTACTTTGCCAAGTTGATGGACTCGAGGCTTGTGCTCGTCCAGAGGATCTACAAGTTTTTTGGGCTCACACTATGCTGTGTTTGATTTTCCACAAGAGCATTCTATGTTGCCAAATCTTTTATCTTAGCACCATTGTCAAGATCTCTCTTGCTTCACCCTCCAGAGTGCACTTCTCAAATTAGTAAGTCATTGGCTCTCAACAATGCAAATGCTAGAGGGATGTTAATTAAGTATGCTTCCACATTGCACTATTCAAATTTGGACGAGCTTCATCTCTCTTAACAAGGCCAACTCCTACTTTCTTGCGTGACCAGAAATGTTTTGCTGAACGAGGAACGTCCCCTATGCCACTTAGATCTAGCCCATCATCTTGTCCATGTCTGTGTCAGAGCTTGGATTACATAGCAACAGATTTCTCTAGTCCCTAGCTCCTTTTCCTCTGCCACCATCATCACCACAACAGCAACAACAAATTTGGTGGAGTGACCAAGATTGTGTGACATGGATTACTTATGTATTTGCAGATGTCTAGAATGGGGATCTACAAAATGGATGAAGAAAATGAGAATAACTAGTTTTAAACTTATTTGGGTTTGGTTTTGTGTGCTGCAGACATTAGTTATGCATAGCCACGCATGGAAGTTTTTTCTAGCAATGGAAAAAAAAATAAAATTCAAACAATATGGAACACAATTGTGATTGCATTGCCCATGAAGGGCATTTCTATGAAGCTGCAAAAGTTCAAGACAAAATGCCTGAGCTAAAAGTGGCATTTGCTTCATATCAATTCAGAACCAATTGTAAACTCGGGATATGTGTTTTATGCTTCTACAGCATTCTAGAGTCTGCATGTTCATAGGTGTTGTTCTTTTTTTTCTTTTTACAAAAGCGTGAAAAATCAAGGACGAGCATCTTGTGAAGAACGCACTGAATCCTGTGATGAGCTCCTCCACGCCCCCACTTGAAAGTTGAAGAGATCCACGCACGCATTCCCCGGCCAAGTGGAAAGCTTGTTGAAGCCACCACACACCGCGATAATCTTTCCCGCTTCCAGATGCTCGACAAGTTCGTCATACTTCTTGTGATCAAAAGAACCACACGTTTCATCGAAAACAACATCAGGCGTGCTCAGGTCCTTGTCCACCAGCTGTTCATACTTGCAGTACCTAAAACCGAACAGCGCCTGCCACTCGTGCTCCAGCATCCGCTCATCAAACACCAGCCGCGCCTGCATGTCCAGCGACCCAACACCACCGAACAGGTCCCGCTCCACCCAAGAAACCAGCTCTTGCCGAAACTTTCGCGACCCCGGGCCACGCCCTCGGATCTCACGGGGTATGCTTGGCTTGGCCCTGATGTACTTGATCAGAGGCGAGCTAAGCAACGGCATCTCCTGCTGCTGCTGGAGCTCTTCCTGGACTGCCTCTATCGATGTCGGCCTCCTCTTGTTAGCTGTCGACGCAAAGGCGAACGTTGGTGTACGTGAGGTCGTCGTCCCAAATACCGTAGTAGCACAAGTTGTCGTCGCTTAGGTACGACGGCCTCTCGCGGACAATGGCCTTGGTGGCGGCATATTCACTCACATTGGCCTGATTGCAGGCATTGCTCCACACCCGCTGGATCCTGTGTTCTAACCTGCACAGAGCGAAGTCCACAACGCCGTAGAAGGCCGAGTACTGCCACTGCACATTGTCGAGAACTTGACCCAAAATCACAGACTCATCCAAGAGCACCATATCCGAGCTTTATAGTTACGGTATTAATTTAAATTATCGAGTTATAAATTAAATTAGTTTAGTTAAAAATTAATGTATGTAGTATTAATTAAATTAAAGAGCCCTAAGACCTTTTAATTTGAATTTTTTTATACCAGCATAGAAACGAAAAGGAAAGCTTTAGAATTTCCGCCATTTCAACGATTTAAATGTGTGGTTATGAGACCGGAAGGCCACCCACCTAGCACCGAAAGAATGGGCGACGAGGAGCGCAAGCAAATTGGAGGCTTTGTGTTTGTAGAGGATGGATCTTGCGTGCGCGCTCCTCCACCAACAGGCCCTGCGGGGTTCTTTGCGGAGGTTCCCGCCAATCCCGCGTTCATTGACGGCGTGGCGAGCCGCGACGTGATTCTCGACAAGGATCGGGGAATTTGAGTGAGAGTTTTCCGTCCGGAAGAGCTGGAGAATCGCACGCTGCCCATCGTGATCTTCTACCACGGGGGAGGATTCATCTACGTGAGCGCCGCGAATGCGATCTTTCACAGTTTTGCGAGGCCCTGTCCAGGAAGCTGGAAGCGATCGTCATGTCTGTGAATTACCGCCTAGCTCCGGAGCACAGGCTCCCGGCGGCCTACGACGATGGCTACGACGCCCTCAAATGGGTCCGAGGGATCGCCAAGAGCAGCAGCGATCAAGACGATTTCGCTCACACGGATTTCTCCAAGATCTTCGTCATGGGCGACCGGGGGAAATCTCGCAGCCCGCGTGGCATTGCGCGCTGACCAGGATGGAATCCCACTCACCGGCCAGATCCTCCTCCAGCCCTTTTATGGAGGCACGTCCAGGACCGACTCGGAGCTCAGGCTCGAGTCCTCCGAACCGATGCTCACGCTCGACACCACCGAGTTTTGCTGGCTGGTGACGCTCCCCGAGGGCGCGGCCGACCGCGGCCATCCATTTTGCAACCCGACGCTGGAATTGCCGGGAGATCTCGCGAGATTGGGGGCCAGGGGACTGCCGAGAGCGCTAGTGGTGGTGGGCGGCAAGGATCTCCTCCACGATCGCCAGGTAGAGTTTGCAAAGATCTTGAAAGACGCTGACAATGCCGTGAAGCTCATCAAGTATTCCCATGGATTTTACCTCGTGGGGGACGCTAGCTGCCAGGAATCCGTCCTTGTCTTGGACGAAATCGCTAGCTTTGTACCGCTGTTGACCATCGTTGAATAATGTGGACTTGATTGACTGACGAGTTGACTGGCTGTCAGAGCTCACGGGATTGGATGTACACAAGGTTTGGCAGCCATTCACGAGGATGGCATTTCTTCCTTTTGTCTTTGCGGTGTCATCAGGCAGCCTTTTCTCATTCCACTGCGCATTCCCTTCCAACCTATAGTGCTTGATAGATGCTGGATTGGATCCAAAAGAACAATGGTTGTAGTGATCGATGTTCGTCAAAGTTTATGAATCCAAACAGATGATTAGATGTTCTTGAGTGTGCACAGCATACCCAAGGGGAAACTGGGCTCGAAGAAGCTCCCACTCAAGATTTGCCTCGTGATGATCCGGTTTGCTGCTTCGGTGTAGTGAACTCCATCCCAATTGAGAAACGCAGATGGATTCTTACAAGTCGTTGACGCCACCGTCTTCCCAGCCATCACTTTGCTCTCCCCACATTGCACCGCAAAATTGTAATTGTAGTTCCCTCCAATCCCACAGCAGGCCTTGGTGGCAAACTGGAATCCTGTAAAGTCAACCATGGTCAGAGATTCGTTGACCGCTTATGTTCTTGTGGTGTTACCATTGCTCGCAGCCTTGAGGGTAAGCGAATATTTGATGTCATAAGTGTTCGTGTAGATTATAGTGCTGCCTGGGAGCTGGCTACGGAGGCTGCTCAAAGCCTGCTTGAGCAAGCCATTGTAGTGCTGCGTGACTTGGTTGAATTCGATAGCGCACCCAGCTTGATCGTAGCTCACCCGGAGATTTGGGAAGTTTGTGAGGAAGTATGGGATGCAGCCCTGGGGCCCAACGTCCGAGACTAGGAATGTTCGTCCTCCCTCGGCATACACGCCCTGTGTAGATTCAATGCAAACACACAAAAGGTATCTTCAGCGAAATCTATATGTAAGAGTTTTTCCATGTCGTCGACCTTGACAAGCGCGATGATTCCATCCACTGCCCGGAAAATGTATGCTTTGAGCTGGTCGAAGTTCATGTTTCGGTTGTATCCATAGCTAAAGTCGTTCCCGCCAATGTCGACGATGTAGAGCGCTCGAGAGAAGGCATCCCTGGCGGGAAGAGCGTTGAGAGAGTTCCCTGGGAACATCATGATTGATCAAGAATGTATGAGCGGGAAATGTAGCTATCAATCTTGGAGAGAACGGAATGGAATAGATCCGGGGATTCATATCCTTGCCTGTTACAAGGACTTTTTGCTTGAACTCTCGAAACTGGTTGAGCTGGACGTTCAGCGAGAAAGGGCTGATGTAAGTCACGGCTTGGGACGTCGCTCCAGCCGTGGCGAAGTTGACGCCAGTGGTGAAGTTGGATCCCACCGCTTGGAAGAAGGAACTTAGATATGGAATTCCTAGAGCTTCAGCTATTGCAGTGAAACAACAAAGAAGAACTCAGTGCAATTCAAGCTTGTATAGTGAAACACTTCACTTATGAAATCGATTCCAAGGCGGCCATCGCTGTATCTCAGGAATGGCCTCCCGGGAAACGTCATGCCATAGGGTGGGAACTCGGATTGGCTGAAAGTCGGGAATGCCGTCTGGATTCCTCCGGTATCGGAGGTGGAATCTCCAAAGTTGAAAATGGCAGGAAACACACAGGCCGAAGATGCGCCCAAGAATCCCCCAAAGATTCCACTCCCCGCCGCCAGCAGCACGAGAAAACTCGCATGGAATTCCATGGTGCTCCTATGTTTTGCCCCAAGTTTTTAAACCTCTCAAAAGCTGACGTGGTATGCCACGTGTGTATCATACGTGGCAGATTTAAATTCTACTCTTTGGCGGCTAGGGTTTGAAGCTCTGGCTATGGCGGAGAATGTGGCTCGCGATCTTGTTCTTCCAGGCGCGACACTTCACGCGGATGGATCCTTCTCGCGCCAGGCTATCTGCCATCCTGTTTCAGCGAGATCGGATTCATCTAGTTCGATTGTTTCCAGGGATGTGACCATCGACGATGGCCTCGGCCTGTGGGCGAGGATCTTCCTGCCCAAGCGCCTCAAAGGCGAATGCGTGGATCCAAATGCCCTAAAATCCCCAGTGCTGATGTACTTCCATGGCGGTGGCTTCGTCGCGATGAGCGCGAGCTTCTTTGGTTTTCATGACTTCTGCGAGGAGATTTCCAGGTGGCTGGGAGTGCTCGTCGTCTCCGTGGAATACCGACTAGCGCCCGAGAATCGCCTCCCAGTGGCGTACGAGGATGGATTCGCGGCGCTCAAGTGGCTGGGACAAGATCAGGGAGGGCTCAGCGACCCATGGCTCGCGGCCCATGCCGATCTCTCCAGCGTGTTCTTGGTGATAGCTCTGGTGCCAATCTCGCGCACCATTTGAGCGTCCGGGCGGCCGCTCCTGCGAGCTGGGGTGATCTGGGACCAGTGCGAATCGTGGGCCGCGTGTTGATCCAGCCCTCTTTCGCGAGCGTGGCGAGGAAGCCGTCGGAGATGCTGCGCGACGATCCAAGCAAGGTCTCGCCCAGCACGCTGATGATGGATCGGTTCTGGGAGCTGGCTCTGCCGATTGGGGCGAGCAGAGATCATCCTTTTTGCAACATCGCGTTGGCCAAGGGCGATCTTGCCGGGATCCTCCTGCCCCGGACGCTTGTCGTTGTGGGGGGGCTGGATGTTGTTCGCGATCACGGCGTGGAGTACTCCGGGATTCTCCGCGAGTGTGGCAAAAATGTCAAGCTTGTTGAGTTTGAGAGCTGCGATCACGCATTCTACTTGAACGGTAGTACGGAGAGCACGTCCCGTTCTTACACGACTAGATGCGTGAACTTGCAGTACGGATGCAGCTTTATTTTATGTACGGACAGATAATACTTTTAGGGCTAAGCGAATATACCTTGGGCGAATGTAGCTACCTTGTCGAGGAAGTGAGCCGTTTCCTGGGATTCCAGAGCGATGTAGAAGGCGTGTGCAGCGTTCTCGATCACCAGGAGCTCGAGATCCTTGCTAGAACCTCCCATTGTCTCCATGAATTCCTTTGCTCGATCGCAGAGCACGTCCTCGCCGCCCGCGACGATGAGGGTCTTGGGCAGGGGGTGATCCGGCGCTGCTACGCGGCAGTAGGGATGATCTCTGTCGGCCCCAATCGGCAACGCGAGCTCCCAGAATCGATCGCACATATCCGTGCTGATTAGTGGAGTGGGCGACCGGTGCTTGGTCTCGGATGGAACCCGAGCGACGCCGCCAAAGAAAGGCTGGATCAAGACGGTGCCCACGACCTGGATATCGCTCATGGCAGGATCCTCGGCCGCCGCAAGCATCGGGAGCATATGGTGGACGAGATTCGCGCCAGAGCTGTCACCCACGAGCAAGGTCTTGGAGAGATCGGCGTGAGCGGCAAGCCAAGGATCCTTGCGCCCTCCTTGCTCTTGAGCGAGCCACTTGAGCGCCGCGAATCCATCGTGGTACGCCGCGGGGAGCCGATTCTCGGGAGCCAGCCGATAGTTGACCGAGATCACGATCGCGCCCATTTTCTTGGCGAGGAGCTCGCAGAGGACGTGGTACTCCATGGTATCGGCGGTGAAGCACACGAATCCGCCGCCATGGAAGTAGAACGCTACTGGAACTTGCCTGGAGTGGTGGATCACTTGATCGGCAGGGAGGAAGATCCTCGCCCAGAGGCCGCGCTCCTCGTCGATGATCACGTCTCGCGAGGCGATTGGATGGGCGCCGGGATTTGCCTCGACGCAAAGGGATTTTGGCATGGATCTACGAGCAAAGGATCGATCAGCGAAGAACACTCCATCCGGGAATTCCATAGCAACTTTGGGCGCCATTGTTAAAAAATGCTATAGGGATACTTTGCTTTAAAGACGGCGATATCACGGACTTATAGGGATACTTTTCTTTAAAGACGGCGATACCATGGCGCGTGGACCTTGAGGAGATGGAATACGGTGAGATTGCTTATGCCAGCCAATTTCTAAACCTTGGAATTAATCTTTGGGATTAAACCATGGACGAATGCAGATATTTTCTCGAGGAGCTGGGCGGTTTTCTCGGACTCTGGAACAATGTAGAAGGCGTGACCGGCATTCTCGACGACCAGGAGCTCAAGATCCTTTCCACACTCTCGCATCACCTCCGCGAATTCCACCACGCGATCGCACAGAACGTCCTCGCTGCCAGCGACGACCAAGGCCTTGGGCAGAGCTTCGATTTCGCGCAGCTGGGCTTTGAGATCCGGCGCAACGACATGGCAGTAGGGGTGATCCCTGCTCGCTCCGATTGGCAGCGCGAGCTCCCACAATTGATCGCTCAGATCCGTCGTGAGCGTCGAATTGGGCGGTTGGGGCTTGGTCTCGGATGGGAACCGAGCAATCCCGCCAAAGAATGGCTGGATCAAGACCTGTCCCATGATCCGCATCTCGCCCAAATCCTCCACTGCTGCTCGCACTGTGACATGGTGCGCGAGATTTCCCCCGGCGCTATCGCCCATCACCAGGATCTTGGACAGATCGGCATGGGAAGCGAGCCATGGATCTCTGCGCCCACCCTGCTCGTCCGCGAGCCACTTGAGCGCCGCGAATCCATCCTCGTATGCTGCCGGGAGCCGATTCTCGGGAGCTAGCCTGTAGTTCACGCCAATCACGAGGGCTCCCAGTTTCTCGGCGATGCTCGAGCAGAGGACATGGAAGATGAAGAAATCGGCGGACAAGGTCACGAATCCCCCGCCGTGGAAGAAAAGCACTACTGGGAGCTTGGGAGAATCGCCCTCGCCCTTACCTTGGACTTGATCGGTGGGGAGAAAGATCCTCGCCCAAATGCCGTGCTCCTCGTCGATCACCGCGTCCCTCGAGGCGATTGGACTGGCGCTGGGATTCGCTGGAACGCGCAGGAATTTGGGCATCGATTTGCGAGCAAAGGATCGATCCACGAAGAACACTCCATCGGGGAATTCCCTGGCGATCTCCGGGGACGCCATTGACAAACTTTTAATGCCTGTTGTGAGAGCAACTCCAACGATAGAGAGGGTGCCACGTGGCAGGGGGTGTTTTTTTTTAAAAGGCTATTTTTTCCCTCGCTTTTTGAAATTTAGGGCTCATGTGATTTTTGGGGCATTCTTGTTTGGCGATGGAGAGCTTGATCGGGCTCGTGAACAAGATCCAGAGGGCTTGCACTGTGCTCGGCGATTATGGAGGCGATCACTCCATGCCGACGCTGTGGGAATCGCTCCCGTCCGTGGCTGTTGTTGGAGGTCAGGTAAATGCCAGGGCTTCTTTTTATCTGTTTCTTCTGAATCTTGACAGCAATCAGAGCTCGGGAAAATCATCTGTGCTGGAAAGCGTCGTCGGCCGCGACTTTCTTCCCAGAGGATCAGGTAATCACAAGAAAAGGCAAAGAACCACAAAGAATCTGGATCTTATCAGCGTTTGCTACTTAGGCATTGTTACCAGGAGGCCTTTGGTGCTCCAGCTCCACAAAACAGAGGGTGGCCAGGAGTATGCGGAGTTTCTGCATAACCCGAAGATCAAGTTCTCGGACTTTTGTAAGTTTCCAGTCTTCCAAAGAAGCTTTTGGAAATTTATTTCCTTATTTTAGTTCCCTGGCAGCACTTGTGAGGAAGGAGATCGAGGATGAGACTGACAGAATGACTGGCCATACGAAGCAAATATCACCAGTACCTATTCATTTGAGCATCTACTCTCCAAATGGTACTTGTCTTTCTCATCCTGTGAAGTTTTCAATGCCGTGGTTTGTTTATTCAGTTGTCAACCTGACTCTCATTGATTTGCCCGGATTGACTAAAATTGCTGTCGGCAAGTGCATTTCTTTTTCTAAGATGATGTGCCTTCTTATACGTGTTGTTTTGCTACAGAGGGTCAACCGGATAGCATAGTGGCAGACATTGAAAATATGGTCCGATCTTATGTCGAAAAGGTATGCTAGTGTTCACTGACTTTCCAAATTGTTTACTTGAGACAGTCGTACAGCAAAACAGCATCATTCTAGCCATCTCTCCAGCAAACCAAGACATTGCTACTTCTGATGCCATGAAACTGGCAAAAGAAGTTGATCCAACAGGTATGAGTTCATGCTCTCGTATTTAGTTGTGAATGCCACAAATCTGTTAGACAGGCGAACGAACTTTTGGAGTGCTGACAAAACTTGACCTCATGGACAAGGGTACAAACGCTCTCGAGGTTATCGATTTTCTTTACTTGGGATAATCGGAGAATATCGTGTTTCTGCAGGTTCTCGAAGGTCGTGCGTATCGTTTACAGTTTCAGTGGGTTGGCGTTGTCAATCGTTCGCAAGCCGATATTAACAAAAGCGTGGACATGATAGCAGCGCGAAAAAAGGAACGCGAGTTTTTTGCAAGCAGCCCTGACTATGGACACTTGGCAAGCCGTATGGGATCGGAGTATTTAGCAAAAATGCTCTCCAAGGTGCGGTTTTCGTGTCATGTGCAACTGACTTCTGACATTGTTTTTACTTGTCGCAGCACCTTGAAACTGTGATCAAAACTCGTCTGCCGAGCATTCTGGCGTTGATAAACAAGAGTATTGATGAACTAGAACAGGAACTGAATCAGCTCGGGAGGCCGATTTCCCACGATGCCGGAGTATGGTTCCACCGTGTTTGCTCATGCGTAAGTTCTTACTCGGCTATTATCTCTTTCAGGCGCAACTGTACACGATTTTGGAGCTTTGCCGCGCCTTCGATCACGTTTTCAAAGCTCACTTGGATGGAGGGTAATATTATTTTTACAAAAGTCAGTTATTCTTACAGATCCTTGCAGAAGGCCTGGCGGTGAGCGCATCTATGTCGTGTTTGACAATCAACTTCCTGCCGCTCTCAAGAAACTACCAGTCGACAAGCATCTATCCATGCAAAACGTGAGAAAGATTGTAACGGAGGCCGATGGATACCAGCCACACCTGATCGCTCCGGAACAAGGATATAGACGCCTTATCGAAGGAACACTGGGCCTTTTCAGAGGGCCAGCAGAGGCGGTTGTGGATGCGGTATGCTAAAACTTCATGCTGGATCTTAACTGATAAATCTCGTGCAGGTACATTCCGTGTTGAAAGAGCTCGTAAGGAAAGCAATTGCGGAAACTCAAGTAAGTACTCTTTCAGCTCTGCATCACTGTCAGTTTTTTTATCTCAGGAACTGAAGCGTTTTCCAACGCTCCAAGCCGAGTTAGCTGCTGCCACGACCGAGGCACTAGAAAGATTCCGGGACGAGAGCCGAAAGTTTGTTCTCAGACTGGTGGACATGGAAGCCAGCTACTTGACTGTGGAGTACTTTCGCAAGCTTCCACCAGAGCTGGAAAAGGGAGGGAATCCCTCCGCCCTGACTGCTGATCGCTACACCGAAGCTCATCTCCGCAAGATTGGTAGAGTTCTCTTTGCCGTTTTCTCTGGTCTCAAAAGCTTACCAGTTCTATCTTTCCAGGGTCTCACGTAACCTCTTACATTATGATCGTATGTGAAACCTTGCGGCATTCCATTCCAAAGGCAGTAGTACACTGTCAAGTGCGTGAAGCCAAGCGCACATTGCTGGATACTTTCTATACTCAAGTTGGCAAAAAAGAGGTAACACGTCGTGTAGATCGTTTTATTTGCCGGCCGATCGTGACACCCTCTTTAATGGCACAGGAGAAGCAGCTCCTCCAAATGCTCGACGAAGACCCCGCATTGATGGAGCGGAGAGTCGCACTGGCAAAGCGCTTGGAGCTGTACAAAAACGCCCGAGACGACATTGACGCGGTGATGTGGGGGAAGTAGAAAATCTAGAAACCCGGAAGCTCGTCGTTCACTCACACTGCGATACCCGAAACATCTCGAGCAGCAGCAGCAGCAGCAGTACAATCGCTCTGGCCATCTTGGAGTTAGATCACAACAACACAATGGAGACTTGAAAGAGACTAACTTACATCTCGGCACTCGCGCTGGAGGAGCAGCAGTTTTTGGCACTGAGACTCCAACTCCAGGTGGTAAGCAGCGGACACTTGTTTGAGCTTGGATCTTCTCTTCTCAATCGCAGCAGCTGGAAAAATGGAAACTAAGAAACGTTAGAACACCAAGGAATAAAACTTTGGAGCGCTAGAACACATTGTTTACCTCTAGCAGGATTGGCAGTGCTCGTAGTAGTCACGGGAGAGAGCCGAGGACTTGGGGTGGAAGACATCCTTTGCGACGCCCCTCCAGCCACGGACACGCTAACCGGTCCCGCAAAGCTAGCCGGCGATACCAAGAATCCTCCAGGAGCGCGAGCTCCTGGCGGAGGTGGCGGCGGTGGCGGCGGCCCTGCCATGAAATTCATACCGCCACCATTGGCAAATCTCCAATCTTCCGTCGCTGGCGCTGGAGCTCGCTTTGATCCCACTCGTCGTACCGGGCCAGCGTTTGGAGGAGGTGGCGGGGAAGCTATGGCGGCCGCGTAGCTCGTTGGCGAGAGCGCATGGAGAGGCATGGTGAGAGATACCGGGAGAGGCATCGCAGCGGGGGCGGTGGCCCATGGAGGATTCGAGGGCGGCTCTCTGTCGTCGTGGAACTCTTCGATCCTTTTGTGGATTCGTCTTGGAACGGGAGGCTGCTGGAGATTCTGGGAGGGAATTCGATGGAGCTGCTGCTGCTGCTGCTGGATTTGGTGCTGGTAGAAGTGGTAGATCGGGGCTCCCTGAGGAGGCGCCGGCGTGAGCATCGATCGCTTGCGTTCTTGCGGCGGCGGCGGCTGGAATTGGAAGGGCTGGATCATCGGTAGCTGCTGCTGCTGCTGCGTGGATTTCACGAGACCTACCATGGATTGCGATGGCACTGTTGGGACGAGGACCTCGGGAAGCCGCCGGGCTTTCTTGGCGCTTGGAACGCCCGCTTCCATTCTGGAATACAAGGAAATCGAAGAGCCCTAAACCTCCATGGCTAGGGTTCCTCAAGAAAATGATGGCATTGCGTGGGAAAGGCGCCAAGGGGATTCTTACCGCGTTAGCGAGGAAGAAATCGCGGCATTTCACCGCGATGGCTACGTGCATCTCCAGGTAAGAGCTCCATTCGATCGATTCGATGGATTGATCTCTCTCGGGATTAGGGAGTCTTGGCGGAGGATGAGATCGCGCAGCTCGAGCGTGAATTCATGGCGTTCCTGAGGCGTGAGATTCGCGTGGAAGGGCGGGATTTCTGCGACATGTCCGCGGATTACTCCAAGCCAGTGGAGAGCTTCTCGATCATCAACATCATGCTTCCTTCCAAGTAAGAACTTTCGTTTATTCTTATCGATAGATGATAGATCGATGAGTGATCCATCTCCTCTTCCAGATACAATCCCTCTCTCAAAGGAAACATCTACCAGCGGAGAGCCGCCTCGATCTCACAGCAACTCCTGGGCGATGGCATGGTTTTCGACTACGATCAACTCCTCGCAAAGCCTCCAAACAAGCCGGACGCCGAATTCAAGTGGTAAGTTCGTCCAAGTTCTCCATCACTGTGCTCGTCATGGTTTCTTCCAGGCACCAAGATCTAGCCTACTGGCCGGTGACCAAGGACACCAGGACCGCCTCCTTCTGGCTCGCCATAGACGACTCCACCATCCAGAATGGCTGCTTGCAGTTCGTCCCAGGAACACACCTCGAGCACCAGCTCCGCGATCACGGCCCGGCTCACGGCGATCGCGAGAAATCCCACACTCTATTCGCTACTCTCGCGCCAGCCGACGCTCCAAAAGCCATGGAGATCCGCCGGGGCGACGTGACCGTCCACCACGAACGCTTGCTCCATGGATCCAGTGGCAATCTCAGCTCGGATAGCTGGAGGAGAGCTTGGGTGATCGCGTTTCGCAGCAAAGAGACCGTGGAGGAAGAACGTCGCATTGGCTTCACGCACTCTCACAACGATAAGCTCGAGGTGTTAAACTCGGTTGGCAGGGAAGGGGATTCGAACCGCGACGCATCTGGAATTTCCGGGAGTGGGCAGGATTCGAACCCGCGACCCAGCTAAACTCGGGAAGGCGATTCGAACCGCGACGCGTTTGGTGTTTTCGTGAAGGGACCGGAGTCGAGCCCGCGACGGGGGTGACACGTCACACGTCCGCGTCAGCTTTAACCACCCAGAGGGTTAACCCATCGCCAAAACCACACAGTCGTGGTAAAACCATTCGCCTTGGATGTAAAGAACATAAAATTGCAAACCCGCCTCTCCATTGGGCGACGTGTTCATTGTTGTGGTTTTGGTTTAGGTATTTCAAAACGGGAGAGACGCAAGGATCAGTGACGAGCGCGACAAACCGAGTATCGCTCGCGGCGCGGGGGCGCGCTTGATGCGGTCTTGGAGCTTGGAGCTAAATCCGCGGCGCGCGGCTGTCACAGGTCTGGCCAGATTTCTGGTGTTGGGAAATTTCCTCCTTGGCCCTCGCTGAGCCCCGGCTGCCAGGGCATAGCTTCGGCTCGAAAGGCGCGGGGAGATCCTGGATTGGGCGCTCCTTTTCTTGCATCTGGCCGATTTGATTCCGGTGATTGCAGTGGCAGCGCTCCCTTCATTGTGGCTGTGTTTCGACCCGCGCAATCGATCAATTTTGGCATTCTGGTTCTCGGGGCTGGGGGGCGCCAGCTCCCTAAGCATGCGCAAGCACAGGCATTGTCACTAGGAAGGTATCAAGCATGAAGCGTGGTAGGGAAGATAGTACATCCGGGCCACAGCTCAAGCGCACGGCTGGTGAATCGTAAGTGCCGCTCCCCTTTTCTTGTTTCAGATTTGGGTGTTCTTCATGGATGTTTTTTTTTACTTTTTTTCCCTGTTCTTCTCAGGTCGGAGCAGCCACGCCTCACAACCGAGGATGCCATGCTCTATCTCAAGGCGGTCAAGGAGAAGTTTAAAGATGACAATGGGAAGTATGCCGAGTTTCTTGAGGTCATGAAAGACTTCAAGGCGCAAAGGTTGGTTTCTCGGCGGATTTATGGGTTTTGGGACGCGATCTGATGTTTGTGGTTCTTTGATTGTGAAGGATCGATACGTCTGGTGTTATCGCCAAGGTGAAAGACCTGTTTAAGGGTCACAACAAGCTCATTCTTGGCTTCAACACGTTCTTGCCTAAGAATTATCAAATAGTACTTCCCGAGGAAAAGAAGCAGCCTGTGGAGTTCGATCAGGCTATTAATTTTGTCAACAAAATCAAGGTATTGTTCTCTTTTTTTTTTGGCCCATGTGTTTTAAGCTCGTTCGCTGCTGTGGCGCAGAACCGCTTCAACGACAATGAACATGTGTACAAAGCTTTTTTGGAAATTTTGAATAAGTACCGCAAGGGCACGAAATCGATCAATGAAGTATATGACGAGGTAAAGCTTGTTCATTCCATCTCTTGCAATGTGATAAATTGCAATGTGTAGGTTGCTTCATTATTTCGTGACCATCCGGATTTGCTGGACGAGTTCACTCGGTTTCTTCCGGACACAGGAAACGCTGTTCAGACGTCCTTTAGGCAAGGAACATCCAACCAACGGAAAGAGGAAAAGGGTCCTTCAGGCCGATCATCTCAGTATCCTGTGATTAAGGTGAAACTCGCTTGTGTGCTTTCGTTCTTTCTGAAAATTTCTCTGTTCAGAAGGAGACAGAACGTTCATCTCTTAAAGCTGAGAAGGAGCACCGAAGAAAACTTGAGAGAGAGAGAGATCGGAATGATGAGCACGAGAGAGACAGGGACAAAGAGGATTTGGATCGGGACGATTTAGATGGACAACGTTTGCCGCACAAACGAAAATCAGCTCGGAGAGCCGATGAACTTATCCGAAAGCAATCTCAAACCGCGGAAGGTAAGAAACTTGCGATTTGTTTTGCCAGTAATTCACTCTCTATTCAGGTACAAGCACACAGATAGATTATGCGTTTTTTGAAAAGGTTAAAGGAAGGCTGCGAAATCGTGATTCGTACAAAGAGCTGATTAAGATTCTTAATCTGTATACCGAGCAGATTATCAATCGTGGAGAGTTGCATTCATTTGTAAGTTACTTTATACCATCATACAAATTTGCCTAACCTGGTGTTGTGCTTGTATTGTATAGGCTACAGACATTTTAGGAAAGCATCCTGATCTTCTGGAAGGCTTCAACAACTTTCTTCAATGTGAAAACGCCGGTAAGTATTTGTTGGCTTTCCCGGTTGTTTTTGTTTTTGTTTTTCTTTTTTTTTTTCTTCTGTTTTGTTTGTGTGTCTTGCACAATCACTCAGTTTTTTTTTTTTCCGTCTCTCTTTCAGAGGGGTGCTTGGGTGGTGTTTTCGCTCGAAGTTAGCTGCATTTGTACAGACAGTGTCATTCTAATCTGTGTACTTTGACAGGATTGGAGTCGGAAGGTGTAGCCTCGAAAGGCCGAGATAAAGATCATGACAGAGAAAAAGACTGGGAGAAGGATAGAGACAAGGATAAGGAGCGGTATGCGTCCGATAAGACTGGCCAGAAAATGTCTCTACTGCCTAGCAAAGACAAGTTTACGAACAAACCAATATCCGAACTTGATCTTTCCAATTGCGAGACATGCACTCCAAGCTATCGTCTGCTACCAAAGAATGTAAGTCTTGTATTTGCCTGTTGCCTTTTTGTGCTTAACGCAACATTTCAGTACCCTCGTCTACCATCGAACCATCGTAACGAGCTAGCGAATTCTGTTTTAAACGACTCTTGGGTGTCTGTAACTTCTGGAAGCGAGGATTCTTCTTTCAAACACATGCGACGGAACCAATACGAAGAGAGTCTCTTTCGTTGCGAAGACGATCGGTATGGCATGCTACAGATGCTTTTGAACTTCTCTAATACTGATATTCAGGTTTGAGCTCGATATGCTCCTGGAATCAACCGCCCTGACCGCAAAACGTGTTGGAGAGCTGGTTGAGAAGTTAGATTCCGGGCAATTAGACCCTTCGATTCGTATTGACGATTACCTGTCAGGTACAAATTTTTAAATTTAATTTCAGAAAGCTTACAACATTTATGGTACAGCGATCAACTTACGTTGTATCGAGAGAATATATGGCGATCATGGGCTTGATATAATCGACTTGATGAGAAAGAACGCTTCTTCAGTACTTGCTGTTGTCCATTGTCGTCTCAGACAAAAGGAGGAGGAATGGGCCAAGTGTCGAGCCGACATGAACAAAGTATGGGCAGAAGTATATACTAAAAATTATCACAAGTCTCTAGATCATCGAAGTTTCTACTTCAAGCAGCAAGACAAAAAGAGCTTGAGCTCTAAAGGTATTCTTTTTATTGCTTGCTTCGTTTTTTCTCATAGCATGCTGCGGTTGGTTTCAGGACTTCTTGCCGAAATCAAGGATGTGCACGAGAAGAAGAGGAAAGAAGACGAGTCTGTGCTTCATTTGATAATGGGAAACAAGAGGCTGCCTACTCCCGATATGAAGTTCGGCTATCCCGACTCGTCTATTCACGAAGATTTGTTCCAAATCATGAAGTACTCTGCGGACGAAGTATGCAACACCATGGAGCAGTCCGATAAAATAATGCGTGTATGGACCATGTCCCTGGAGCTTTTATTTGGTGTGCCACCTCGACCTCGTGGCACCGACGATACAGAGGAGGCGGTGAGGGCGAATTGTGTCTCCAAAGAGGAACAGTCGAGCTCCGGTGAAAGTGCTGCAAGTGGTGGAACAGGGAGCCCAGCGAACGAGGGAAAGAATACTCAGGAAGAATGCGCAACGGCTTCTAGTCGGCCCGTAGCAAACTCAGTTGTGCACGACTCCAGAAGAAAACGTAAAGGTGAGGAAGGAAGACATGGTGACAACGCTGCCATGCAACGAGAAGCCAGTCTTGAAAGGAAAGACGGCTTAGATGGTAAATTTTAGCTTTTATTGTTAAGTTCCGTTCCTAAGGCTGTCTTGTTTTTTCTTTCTTTTTTGGCAGCTACAGAGGCTAAAAGCTCTTCGAGGCACGAGGTCTGCGGATAAATTAGTTTTTTTCTTCTTTATTTGACATTATTATTTTGCAGCATGAGTTGGAGACAACGAGGAATGCAACATCTTCTCATAGAACCAGTGCTCATGGAAAGGGTGAGAGAGAGGAAGGGGAGCTATCACCTGAGACGAACGAGGGAAAGAATGTTCTGAGGAAAGACGGTTCAGGTGATGCAGACGCTGATGTAGATCACAATGGAGATGGCGGTGACGAGGGGGAAGAAAGTGGACAAAAGTCTAGCGATGATAGTGAAAATGAGAACGCTTCAGAGGCAGGTGAAGAAGTCTCTGGCAGTGATGCTGGTGATCCCGATGGTTCACGGGATGACCATGACGAGGATGAAGAAGAGGACGCAGATGAAGAACACGAACAAAAGGTTGAGAGCGAATGTGAAGGCATGGCGGATGCAGATAACACCGACGGCGACGGCATCTCTTCTCCCGACCGGTTTTCCGTGTTTTGCAAGCCGCTTGCATCTCATGCAGGCTCTCTGGACGCTCAGAAAGACAGCACAGTCTTTTATGGGAACGACATGTTCTACATTCTCTTCAGGCTTCATCAGGTAAAGACTCTGATATAGTCTTGCTTGTGCTAATACAGAGCCGCAGACCTTTTACGAGCGCATGCACTCCGCGAAGACAAATTCTCTTGCGGCGGAGCAAAAGTGGAAGTCCCTGAAGGACAACACACCTCCAAACTTGTATGCAAAGTAAGTAACCTTTCCTTCTAATTGTCATGCATTAATTCATGATAAACACTCCAGGTTTGTGCGTGTCCTTTATGATCTCCTTGATGGGACGGCCGACAACGCGAAGTTTGAGGACGAGTGCAGGTCAATAATTGGAACACAATCATATGTTCTATTCACGCTGGATAAGTTGATATACAAGCTTGTAAAACAGGTAATCTGCTGATTGGATGCCATCCGATCCTTACTCTGGATTTTGCAGCTGCAAGCCGTCGCGGCGGATGAAACCGCAACTAAGCTCCTTGCGCTGTATGCGTACGAGAAGTCTCGTGGTCCTGGTGGATTCTATGATCCCGTGTACCATGCTAATACGTGCGTTCTCCTCCACGACGAGAGTATCTACCGCTTCGAACTTGTAAGCTGTTTTCACTCTGGAGTCCGCATTGTCGCGTCTAACTCCTTCACGTAACAGGACCCGAACTCAACAGAGCTATCGATTCAGCTGATGAGCGGCGCTTCTGAAAAGCTCGAAGTGCCGGCAAGCGCAATGGAGTTTTCATTCTCAAACTACTTGAACGGGTTCCTACTAACGGTTCCGGATGCGAAAGCCGCCAAAGGCGTATTTCTAAAGAGGTAAGCCATGCCTTTAGATGTTTTTCTTTCGCTTACGCTCGTCCTTCTAGGAACAAGCGAAGCTCACCATTTAACGAGGACCCTCAAGACGTGACCACCGCCATGGAGGGCGTGCGAGTGCTGAACGGCCTGGAATACAAAATCTCCTGCAAAACCTCGAAGGTAAATCATAGTAGTTTCGAGTCGGGAACTAAATAATCTATGAATGTAGGTGTCTTACGTACTCGACACAGAGGATTTGTTCCATCGCACCAACAGTGTCCCTGCCAGACGAAAGATCCCTTCATCTTGCTCGATAGCTTCGAGACGCGGCCGAGCGCAAAGATTTCGCAACTGGATCGATCACCGAGCCAAGAGTGTATCAAACAGCTAAAGGGAAGGCGAGAGAAAAGAACGTAAGGAAGAAGAGATCATCGAGATCTCCAAGAACGCAGTTAATGGGAAACGCATTTTGTCAAGGATATTGTTTTAAGTGTAGCATATTCTCGGCATATTATTTCCGCCAATTTTTACCGTTGAAAGCAAGCTCCATCGATCGCTCTTTCTTCCACCGAGTCTAGGGCATGGAGATCGCCAGCGCCAGCGCCATCGCCAGCGAGGTCAAGGCAATGGATGTGGCAATGGAAGAAGCGGCGCCGCTGGAGCAAAATCAGCAGCTGCCAGCGGCTCCGGCGATCGAAATCGCGATTTCCTGCTCTCAGTCCGTGCTCCAGGAGAGGAACAAGCGCTTCGACGATCTTGACAGCGTGGAGGCATCCAAGAAGGTGGCGGCGGCGAAGCCAGTCGTGAGGGTTCCTCCTAGGATGATGTTTGGCTCCCATCCAGAGAGGTAAGAGGGATCGATTCTTCTGGTTCCGAGTGAGATGGAGAGATTTCTTCTTAGGTACTTGAGCCCCACGGACTCGCTCGTCTCGCCCATCTCGAGGGGATTGCTGTGGAGGAACCATCGGCGGCCGGTGAGAAAGCTCATTCCTCCAGTTGCGCCCAAGGTTAGTTCGCGATTCCCCTTGCTCGCTCTCCATTTGGTTGATCGATTGCTCCTTTGGTGGTTCTTCCAGGCACTGGAGAGCGCCTTCCTCTGTGCCAATGACGAGAATTCTCGCAAGTGAGAGGCCAGTGATTGTTTGTAAATACGAAGTAAACTATCAATGCAAGCAACAAGCAAATATTTGGTTCCAAAGGTTAGGGTTTATAGGGGTTTGGCTATGGCGCCCGGGCGCGGGAGGAATGCGCGTCGATCGGCGGAGCCAGGACTGCTAACTGGTGAGATGTTCCTGAAATTCGCGTGGTTTCTGATCGCCCGGGCGTTGATCAGAGGCGCGCAGGCTTAAGCAACAGGCGGAGAGGAAATCGGGCATCGCCAGAGAGCCGTTGCTGGCGCGTAGCGCAGAGATTTTTGAGTCAGCTCTTGGACAGCAGGCCTTGCAACAGGATCGCGATGAGTGCCTGTTTGACCTGGTACTGTTCTTATTTGGATAGATCACTGTCTCTTTTTCGCACTTTCTCCTTTCTAGTCGTTGTTCTTGACTGCGTTGCTTGCGTAACAGGGGGACACTTGTTTTCTGTGGGCCAAGTCCATCGCTACGGCTGTTCCATCGCTCGCAACTCCTCTAACTGGTGATACCAAGAAGGCGAGAGCAGAAGTACTGAAATTGGAGGCATTTGCTCGCGCTGCTCCACTTTTCACGTATGTTTTTCTTTTTATCTTTGTTTGTTTGTTTTTACTTAGCAGCTCAATCTCTGTTCATTCTTTTTGCAGGAAGAGCTTTGAGATTTTCGATAAGATAGAGCTTAGCGAGCTCAAGGCTGAAGCTCTTACGAATAGTGGGAGCGTTCTATGCGAGCTAGCGGAAGTGTTGGTTGAGCTTCCAGAGACTCAAGGTGGAGGCTTGGGTGTTGCAATGAAGCTGTGCTCCGACGCTTATGAACGGTGTGTTATATCCATTTCTTTCTCTATGGCTTACACTCAATGTGCTGTTGCAGTATAGGTATTCTGCGGCTCTTTCAGCGTCACCAGACGATTTAGATGTTCATGCGAACATGGCTGACTGTTGCATCAGGCAGGCAGAACTGTTAGCGCAAGGGCCTTCTTCGTGGGAGTCGTGGGATCGAGCGAAGTTGCTCTACGACCGGGCACTCGAAGTTTATGAATATGTTTGCTCTGTGGCTGATACCAAGAAGGGTGACGATTTGTCCACGCTCTTGGAAAACTGGGCTGCATGTTTAGTTTCTAAAGCCGAGGTATTTATTTATTTATTTTCATTTCCTGGCAATTATTCACGTATGAAACTTCCAGCATGTACCTGACTACTTGGAAGCATTGGAGCTGTATGGAATTGCTTGTGAGAAGCTGTGTGCGGCCACAAAGCTAAGCCCAACTCGTATAGCTCTTTTCACTGCGTTGGGAGATTCCTACATTGCTGAGTTCGAGAGGCTACCTGAGGAGCCACCATTTTTCGAAAAGGTAACTTGTTTTGCGTTGAGTTCTTATCTGTATCCGTCTTGTGTTTAATCCCACAGCGATACAGCACCATGCTGTCTGCAGTCGAGAGCTTTACAACCGCTCTACGAATTAATTCATCTAACATTGATGCGCTTCTTGGTATTGCCGAAGCTCATCGCCTGGCATCGAGATCGTCAAGGCTTCTCGGGAACAGTCGAGGCTCACATGATCACTCCGATCAGAGTACGACCTACCACATGAGATGCATCGAACTTTTGAAATCAGGTGGGTCACAAAGAGCTCCTTACTTTATGTCTCACTCTGTGTTTTCCTGATGCGAGTCGCTTCTCTTAACTGTAGGCGAGCATGATATAGACTTTTCGCGGCAGTGTGACGTACTCTACAACCTCGCCTGTGTCGCGGTGCAATGCGGACGCGAACAAGACGCCACAGCGGCCCTCAAACTTTTGGGTCAAGCCGAGGCGGTAACTGCGGCAGAGCTTGTCGACGATCCAGACTTTGAAAGTTCCAAGTCAAGCGCTTGGTTCTGGTCGCTTGTGAACAGTTTCCCAGGAGGTAAAGTCGAATCCAACTAGGCGAGTCGGGGGTGCCATCCCGAGTGATTTAGATACGCACACAGGTACGCGTCTTCTGTTTTGATTTTATCTAGATACAAATTTAAGTGGGACAAGCTTGTGCAGACCCGGCTTAGACGAAACTACCTGGAAGACTTGGTAATCTGGCGTATCCTTTTGTCCGGATGCACCACAGTTTGAGATTCATCCAGTTGGAGGATAGAATCCGCGACTTTTTCCTCACAAGATAACAATTTCAACTTTTCTTGTTCTTTTTTTCTCCTTATTTATTTCATCTCAGGGACTGCTGGGAGAAGGCTCCATACGGCATAATATGTTTGTCTCTATGCTCCTTGTCTTACGAGGGGATAACGCGTGTTAGGTACTTTGCGTGTTTTTTCTTTTCTTTTTTATTTTCCTCTCAGTTCCAGACATAGAACCATTCTAACTATGTAGATTGATGGGTCCCTTCAAACTGTTTTTCGTTTCGCGTTTTCTATCTTTTGCAGTGAGCGGCTCCCTTTGGCTGTGGGGACCAAACGCAACGAGGGACAAGCTACATGTTGGAGCGACCCTGTTTTTTAAGCTGTTTGAAGTGCTCCCAGGAACCTCCAAGTACGTAGCCCAGAAATTCTCAATCGCTGCCAATGCTCACTCGCTTTCGTTTGTATCAGTGTCACTGTTGCTAGGCGGAGGAGGCTGCTTTGTCTCACTTTAAAAAAAGGGACCAAAATCTCTGCGGTGAGTGGAACTAAACCATCAAGTCCTTTTGTTTTTTCTCTTGGCTTGTGTCCTGGATTCATCATGGGTGGCAACACTGGCTTGTGAAGTAGAATCATGCCTTGCAACATCCTTGAAACCAGTGATCTAATAATTTTCTCTCTTGTTAAGACAGGATTATGAGCTCTCTTTATATTGGATTCGCAGTGATTGGGGGGTGATGGATGGCATGGCCCAGTTCGATCAAAGCGAATCAGTGATATATTCCCAGATGGGAAAAACAATAGAGGTGAGCATGAGTAGAAATGATTCTTGACAACAAAAGGAGACAAATCCAGAAGAAAATGCTTGCAGGATCCCGGTAACTCTTCCACACGGCAACACTGGAATTCTTTTGCGTGCGTGGTTTGGCTTGACTGGGGATATAAACAAAGAGGTAAATGTTTGCCACCTCCAAAAAATCGATCGCCACATCGCGCTGGGTGGAAGATTATTTTGTCTGTAGATATGAACTTGGTGGCCCCCTTGTTCCCAATCCAAGACAAAACAGATGAATCACCCATAGATTAATATCATAAACGCTCCGTTTGACGACAGACATGCCCCTAAAAGCTTCCATGGTGCGTGTAAAGGAGCTTAGTTTTTTACTTTGCTTCATAGATCGTACCAAAGCACCATAGCAATAGTTGATCGATCCGGATCGAGTCTTTTAAGGGTGGAGAGCTTGGCTTTTGCACAACGTCACGCTGATGCTGGCTTCCGCTGCTGGGTATAAATCTTGGGCTCTTTGTCTCTAGTGGCCATACATGAACACTCTCTAAATTTGACAAGTTCTCTCCTCCAAGTTTTGGGAAGATTCAACAGTCTCGAGGGAAAGTTTTACTTCCCTGAATTTGCAAGATTGTTTATGCTTGGGAGACTGTGCATTTAGTGATGGTGCTGTGATGTTGTTCGTATTCTATACAGCCATAGCTTCTTTGTTCCAGTTTTTACCCCTCAGGATATGTTTTGCCCCAGCTTGGCATTTTACCAAGTCACAAGTTTGGGGATGGAGTGAATTCCCCGCGCCCCAAGTTGGCATAACCCAATGATGCCTGTGGTTTTAAACAAGGACAAATATATGCGAGGAAGGACACTGGAGAAAACATGGCTTTGGGAATGATGGGGGCAAGCAGAGCACCAAATGCCACCATCCTAAAAGCACACAACTAAAGTTCTCCAAGAAAATAAACCACCTCTTCAAAGAGAGAAAGTTCTCTTTCTCATAAACAAGTTCTCCCTCGTATGATGAACTCAGACCAATGTCTTGGAGCTCCCTCCAAAGGATTGCAGAACTAAAGCTCAAGAAAAGACAAAGAGGGCTTCAAACTTTTCTTTTTTTTTCTACCACCTTTTTCTTTTATGCATAGAAAGGATGAGATGAAAATATTTGTAAAATATTGATGTGTTGTTCTAAGGTCGAGCACTAGAAAGGCCCACTGCACGTGTTGCTCATCATAAACAATATCAGAGCCCCCACATTTCATCAGCAAAAGGAGAGGATATGTAATCAATTAATTTTTTGATGTGTAAATTTGTATTCTATGAACAACAGGCAGCATTTTGGGCCTTTGAACCTCCAGAAAGTTGACGCACCTTTGAAAACTTCCATTTTCCTCTTTTTTTATAAACTAGTAGTAGCAGCAGTCAGAGACTCGACTTGACCAGTCGAAGCATTTGAATTTGAGTTTGAATCCGAGTTTGAAGTTGTGCCCGACTGCGAACCAGAGTCTCTGTTCTTGTTGTTGCTGTTACTGTTGTTGTTGATTGTTACACTGGTCGCATAATTGGATTCTTCGTGGCTCTGGGCTGCCATGATGTTCTTCCCAAATACTGCTGCTTGTCTTTGCTGGGCAACTGGATGATCATCGCTGCTCTCGCCCACCTGATCGCCATTTACAGCCTGTCCAACGATCTGATACTTGCCGTGGAGATGATCAGAGGAATGATCGGTACCATGACCTCGAGACGCGAGACTGGAAGCAGCAGTGGAATCGCTTGTCGAGAGACGCAGCTGCGTCCGGGCCTCGTGTCTGAGCTGCTCCAGTTTCAAATCCGACAGATGTCTCTTGCTCCTCTCCTCGTGCTCCATCTGATCGTGTTGGTATCGCTGCTGCTGCTGCTGGATAGACGATCCCGCACGGTGCAGCAGGCTATCATTCACCCTCAACATCATCATGCCACCCCCTGGAGCAGGAAAACACACACCACCACCACCACCGCCACCGCCACCCTGCGGCACCTGCGGAATGGATCTTTCTTGTGACCAAAGATGCATCTCTGCAGCAGCAGCGGCTGCTCGCTGCCTGGTGGTGGCATCCAGGTGGTGGCGGTGATCATGGTGGTGATTGTGCAGCAGCATTCCGTTGTATAAGTAGAAACCGGCGCTGTTGCTCGTCGTGTGTATGCTAGTGTTGTCCTTGTTGCCTCTCATTGCGGCGCTCTCTAATTGCACAAGCCTGTTGAGCTCGTTGGCGCCAAACATTAATCCTCCTCCCCTGGCTTGCCGTTCCAAGAGAATCTGCTTCCCCCGATCTGCGAACTCGGCCATGAGCGGGGAGGACAATCGCAAATCTGTCCCGACAGTGGCTGCTGCATTCATGGCACCATGCCCGGCTCCCAAGGACGGGTGATGATGTTGCTGGTGGTGGAGTAGCCTCTCCTCCCGCCATGGGCTCCTCGGCTTGGCCTCGTAGACGTCGACTGGATCGTCGCTCGACGTCGAGAGCCCGATCGATAGCTGCAGCCTCGACTCCTCTCCTGGTGATGCTCGATCACCATCATGGTACTTCCTTCCCGGGACCATCATCGTGCTGTTCTTGAGACAGTCATCGAGCACGGACGAGGGTCTTGAGACGAACCGGTAGACGTTTGAAATGGGTTGCAAACTCGCGTTCTTGTTGGCGAGCATGGTATTATAGCTGGTCGGCAGCGTAAAAGCTCGTCCAGGATCGCTGTTTGTTGGCATGAGCTGGAGCTCGTGGCGTTGTTCTGGACAGCGGTGGCTGGGAGGCGGAGGCGGACTACGGCTACTGCTCGATGGCTCGAAGAGAGATCTGGTGCTCATCACGCTAGCGCTGCCTGGATGGTGAAGATCTGGCGAGCTGGGCGTGAAGGTGGGAGGAGGATAGTGGCCACCGCCGCGAGTGGTGGCGGTGGTAACACCGCTGCTACCGGTGCTCTGGCCGCCCAGGAGCAGGAAATGCAAATTGCTTGACGGACTCGCGCTCACATCGCTGTCACCCAGCGACGCTTTTTCTTTGGCCACCGTGCAAGTGTCCTGATGCTCTATGAAGCTCTCGACCCTGCAAGATCAAAAATTAAGCTCGTCAGCCACAGATCATCGAGCATCAATTCCAAAAAACTCTCAGAGGACTCGATCAAGAGAGAGAAAGATGAAAGCTTGCGGATGATCTGGATGTGATCTTTACCTCGAGAAAACACGCCCACAGGCGCAGCAGTGGCCTCTCGTCCCGCACGTCTTGAGGTGGGCTTTGTAGTCGGACTGGACGGCGTAGCCTTTGGAGCACTTGTCGCACTTCCACTGCTTCTCGGTGCTGTGCTTGCGGCGAAAGTGTTTCTTGATGCCGACCAGGTCGCCCAGCGCATGGCAGGGATCGTGGTGGAGGCACGACGGTTCCGGGCAAACGTAGACGCGCTTGCGCACCTCCGGAGTGGCGCGCTTGAGGAGTTTCCATGGAACTTTGTGGCGCCGGCGGTGCATTTGCAGGTTCTGGTCGCGCTGGAAGCCTTGGTTGCAGATCTCGCATATGTAGCGGTCGGATTCCATGAGCGTCTTGGGTGACAAGGAGACGACCTCGGCATCGGGATCTGGAAACAGAAGAACAAAACAAAACGAGGAAAAGGAAAAAACGATAAGAACTTCTTTCGAATCAGCGCGAAAACAAGCCATACAGCTCACAACAACGCGGCGCAGCATCAAGGGAATTTGACCGGAGAAGCCAATGCAAAAGAACAAGGCAGGAAGTTTTGAAGGGAATTCATGGATCATCCAGTATAGCAAGAAGAAAATTTTGATTGCTCCGGTAGCAAAGAAACCATGAAGAAGGAGAAAGAAACCGTGAAGAAGAAGAAAGAAATCATGAAGAAGAAGATGCCATCCAAGAAAGAAGAAGCAAACTTACCGGGAGTTCCAGCAGGACGTCGTTTCCTCTTGTTACTGGGGCCGCTAGACGGGGATCCATGCTGCGAGTGAGAACTAGCAGCCATGAAACCAGGAGGCGAGGCCGAGGATACTTCCATAGCTGCCATTCGAATCGATCGAGCTAGTAGCCGATCTCTTTCTCCTTCTCCTTCTACTGCTCTGGAAATTCGTGGAGTTTTTTTTGCGCTTCCAATCACGAATTTTCCAGCTCTTGGCCACTGTTGCGAATTGCCGCCCTTGTGGACATCCTCCTCTCCAAACTATATATTCTTTTGAGGGAGAGATCGCAGCATAGATTAAAAAGATCAGCGCTCTCGTAGCAGTCCTGTCCTTGCTAAGAAAGACATGAAATCCTCTCTTTAAAGACTCGTCAATTAAAATGAAAACCTGGGATGGAAGAAAAAGAGAAGGAAGAACAAGACGAGGGGAATGGATCTCCGAGTTAATTGTTGTTAATGCCAACGTTACTTAGCGCTAATAAGGAACAGTGATAATGGAATGAATGTGACCCATCTTTAGCCGCCACCACACAAAACCAAACAGTTGGGCACAGCTAACAAACAAGATTTGGCTCCTTGTTTGGTAGTGCCCATCTACTTGTGCTTATGAATCACATTGCCACAACCATACAAATTGTTAAATCTTTAATCCTATAATATGTGTGTAAGCTCTCGCCTATCTTCCCTAAGCTAAACTAAGACGCGGAATCCTCTACCTAAGAAGAAAGAGGGCATAGAATCCACGACAAAGAAACAAATCCGCCACCTTATTCCTCACTCGTGTGCTTACGAAAACTTGTCACGGATCGAGCAAGTATTTTAAAGATTTGAGAAGAGAGAGAGAGAGAGAGAGTGAGAGAGATGGAGTTGGGGCTTGAAACTTATGCGTGTGTTGTCACCACAGTTGGGTAAGATTTCCATAGATACGGCTACACTTTGTGACAATACAGCTTGTTTTTTCCTTGATCATAATAGTGATAATATTAATAATAATACAAATAGAAAACATATTTTATTTTCTATCAAGTCAATAATTAGATAGCTTAGAAACAGTGTAAGGTGAAAGAAAAAAAAAGTAAAACAACAGCCTCTCTTTCTTTGGTTAATGTGTTTTTAGTGGGGGGTCTGGATGAATGAGACCGGGCATATGTCTCCCAGAATTCCCCACCACCCAGAAACTTGTTAGGTGAGAATAATAGGAGGAAACATCCTTGGTGATCTGCTAAGATCTGTTTTAAAGAACACACATGCATTCAATTTAGGGCATTCTACAAGGTGGCCAATTGAATGATGTCACAACCACACCCTCCAAAAGCAAAGCAAAACAATCACCATCTAAATATTTATCACACATACTCACACACTTAAACAGATTTCTTTGTGGTGGTGTTGTTGCTGCTGCATGCATGCAGAGATACAAGAGGATCTCTCTGAAAAATGCAGCTCTTCTGAAGTTCCCTTCGAAACTCCGCTGTCAAATTTTTCTCACTTTTTTTTTGTTACCGCTCCAGATTTACCGCCGGTGGCGAGATAGAAACAGTGGGTCACATTCTTTCACCATACAGTCGGAGGAGAGGAGAGAAAAAAATGGCCAAGCACCTAATCCCCAGCCTTAAACACCTCCCTAGACGATAGAGTCGCCATCGCCATCGCCAACTTTTCTTCCTCCTTTTGTTCGCTCTTTCCCCGCCAAACGCTGCGTGCTTTCAACTCTTCAAGAGCGAACAAACTCCGTCGAGACAAACTCTCATACATCTGTGCTTTGTTTTGCTTGTGCTTTCTTCTCTCTTTGTTAACTCTTCTCAACACACGGCGTGATGGATTGTTAGGCGACCTGCCGTTACAAAGAGCAAAAAGCCAGAGTGACAAACGAAGAAGAAAGCAAAACTTTCATTTGTTCTAAACGAAATTACTTACCGTGTCCCCGCAATGTTCTCGCCAGTTGCAAGCAACTTAGTGGCTGATTGCGATGGCTCTAGGCACTTACTTATGCACTCTGACATCAGATGCTTAATACTTTTGAGTATGAAGGACGCCGACACTTGCAGCACCTTCGAACATTCTCAACCTTTTAAATGTCCCGCAGTTAGAAACACGAAAAAACAGTATGACATACCGAGCTATTTACACCAAACCGTCGCAGTTTAGCAGCCGGCAGCCTTGAGAAAATTGTCGTAGGGGCTCGCGGGTGGGAGCTTTACCAGCGGCCATGTCTCGTCAGCCGATGGTGTTAACCACGGAGGGCTAAAGACGGGGCTCTCGTTCAAGCTCTTGCTCCTGGAGCCGATAGCCTGCGTCCACTTTCCCTTGGCCTTTTGGAAACAAGGGAGCGTAAGCGATTGATAAAAACTCAAAAGCCTTGCGAAAACTTACGTCCGCTGATGGCGTGCTCGGTTTCAGATTGCTATCAAGCCTCATCACGATTGACATGTTCTTCCTCGTTCCCGCAACGAAGGCCTCGCACTGGCTTGCAAGAGCATGATAAGAAACCGGAGAGTTCGGGGTTGTGATGCTGGCGACTTGGCCGGCAGCTTCCAGTGCCTGTAAAAACATTTCCTTTGCTTGAGCACGCAGGAAAGTGAGCGTCTTACCGATTCTAGAAGCTGATTTACGCCCATAGCAGCTGGGGGAGGAACCGGGACATCAGCCAGTAGTGGAGGAAGACCAATAGAAGCCATTGGACTCAAAGCATCCTCATCAGCCGAGGGTACAACCTACACAGCGAAAAGTAAGACATTGAATACAAACTACTTGTTTTATCCTCACATCGTCAAAAGACATAGACTCCATGCCCATGTGACCGTTGAAAGCTTCCAAGTGTATCTTCGAGCCCAAAACAAGTGTGTCGTCTGGAGTAAACTTTTGGAGCAACTGCTCAGGTCCACTCATCTAGTTGTAGTACGTGGAGTCAAAAGCCAGAAGGAAAAATCGTTACATGCAGAAAAAAATGTACCTCTAGGTGTGGTGGTGCGAGCTTAACTATCATGGAAGCAATGGTCTCGTTTGAAGCATCGGGCGGAATGGAAATCTGTGACATGGCAGCTGCAGCCGATCTTTCTTCATCTATAGAGCCGTAGTTCTTAAAATTCGCACCGGAACAAAGCTTAAGCTTGTTGTCCTCCGTAACTTCCAGGAACGGATCCCTCTGGAAAAATGCGTCAACAATGTAAAGCAGCCAACGTCAACAATACCGTTTCAGCTGTAAGGTTAGCCTTGACAAGGGGTATGATATGGGGAACATCGTAAATTGTGGCAGCAACGATAAGCATGACAGTCGAAAGTGTGAACAGCGACCGGCGCTGGCACGAGCTTTTCACAGCTGTAAAGAAAGATAAGTACATTGCAAGTAATCCCGACGTTATGACATACCGCTGGGATCTAAAGCAAGAGTTCGCAGAGTCAGAGCAAGCTGAAAAGCTCGTATGCAAGTGTTATTGCTGGAAGTCTGAAAACCATAAGATGAGAAACAAAGACCTTCTGCACGATCAAGAATTTACCTTGGGTCGAGAAAAAAGCAGCGTTAAGCTAAAAGTATGGCCAAGCGCCTCAAAGATGACGGGCACATTGTCGGCCATTGTAGCCTGAATTAATAAGCTCGAAAGAAGTAGCGATGCTTGATATCCGCTTAACCTGGCTGGCGTCATCTCCTGCAAATAAGATTGTAAGTCCAATCATCACAGCTTGAAGAACATACATACAACTTCTTTGACGGATGTGTCCTTCACGGCGAGAGATTCTTCAGCGTCCTTGAACTCGTCAATGTTTTCGACGCTCTTTTGCTTGTCTTTCATAACTTTCTCAAATAGAGAAGATGCTGCACTAGAAGGTGTCCGGAATAGAACTTTCACGTCACTCTTAACGAGAACCGCATCTCCCCCTGAAGGAGGTATCAACAAAACAAAGAAAATATGGTGGCAACCCAAACGAGTTTCGACGTCGGGGTGTACCATTGCTCGCAAAAGCTGGTAAAGCAACGCCTCTGGAAATGCCTGCAATTACAACATGAAATTCCTGGCCTTTTAGGTGCAAACATGGTACCTTTATGTGCAGATCTTCATTTGGAAGTGATACAACAATATGTGCAAGGACGGCCACTGCTTCGATAGTCGTTCTGGCAACTGTATTCTTGGACGAAAGCTTTTCCAGAATAACGGCCATTTGTTCCAGGATAGGAGTTGCTTCGCCAATCTAATCACACGACGTTAAACATCAGCTGAAATAGAGCACTTAAAATTTACCCTCCGTGCTAGCTCTATCAAACATCGCTCGATCGCTTGAAGACAGTCGTTCAAGTGCTCCATGTTGACACCACTAGACATTTCCAAAGAGAGTTGCAAACTTCTACGAAGATGGCGTGACAGATCGTTGATGATACCGACTTCCGAATGCTTGCTCTTGGGTTTCGAATGCCGTGCTAGGACTGTTGTGACCCTGACAATCTCGGTCTTCACTGGCAGCTCATTCGCAACATTTTTATGGTCTAGGTGTCTCACTAGCGCGCCAAGAACAAGATGATCGTTACCTGCAAAGAGGGCTCAAGCATAAGATACCTTTTCTTTGATGCTGAAAAAGATTTCACCTGTTTTCTCCATTAGAAACACCATATCGCGAAGAACGGGGAGAGCGATTCCAGATTCTAGCGACCATGATTTCTCTGAGTCGAAATAGTTGAAGGCAGCGTCCAAAACGCAGCGTATAGTTGTTGTCTCCTTGCCTAAGCATGCCATATTCTGGACGCAGATCTGCGACCACACCTTAGGCGTTTCAGATTCTTCTCTGGCATAACAGACAAAAGATGATCAGAAACAACCTCAAGAACGATCGATACATACTTGGTGAGGTTTCTGGGATACTTGATGCGAATACTTTCCATGTTGAAGGACATTCGCGCCAGTGCATCACGCATAACACTTCCTTTCAGGAACCCCTTCACAAGATTTTGTGCCGGCTCCCTTTCGCCGCCTTCGGTTTCTACTGCGGTCACAGTCGCTTCATAGTTCATCAAAACAGCACGCACGATCTGCACGTTTGACGTTAAAACACAAGATCTTAACGCACAAAATAGACCTCACCTCATCAAAATCGGAGGGCATGTGAGAAAACTCCCCCATAAACCATAACTGGAAGTAGACAAGAAATAAATCATAGGACACAGGACAGACCACAACCAGAAATCTCTTACCATCGCGGAAAGAGCTTGCAGTCCTGCAGCTCGTAAGATACTTCGCTTCGGCTCGGGTCCAGTCTCTCGGGCAAGAGCGCAAAACTTCGGTATAAAACTATCCAGGTTGTGCATGTACGTGGTATCAACCTGTTCCAAGCCTTTAAGAACGCCATCAAAACGAAAAGATCTGCTACCTGTTGGTAAATAAATTCCACGACTGTGACGCATCCAAGAACACGCATTTCATCATTTTGTTGCTCCAGTAGCACATGAATCATGTTTAAGGCACTGACGGCCAGTAGAGGCCTGCGCATCTGACATGTTAGTAGCTGACACAAAGAACTCTCTCGCTGCTCACATTTGATCTTTGCAAGTCGAGAAGAGCTTAAAAAATGTGCGCATGATAACTCTGACCGATCCATAGTGCTCGTGTCGCAGCTCCTTGTAGCCTCGAAGCTCCAAGTTCTTGGCAATCTATTCGCAAAGGAAATTGAGCTACAGATAAAAGAGAAAAATTCCCCCAAACCTTTGGTATCCGGAAGGGATTTTTCACAGCGTAGTCCGTTAGCTTCGAGATCTTCCTATCATTCGGTTGCTCGGCCTGTGAGCGAAAGAAAAAGAAAATTCTATCACCAGAGCTGGGAAATCCAGAAGAAGAAACTCACCTGGGACTTGGGAAAGAGATCAGAGAGGAGCTTCTTGTAGCGCTTGACCGGCTGCCGCGATCTAGCCCTCAAACCGGGGCAGCACACGCACAAATGCCCACACAGCGGCAGCACGCGCCTCGAGATGATTCCCATTCCGCGCGTCGGCTATCTATCCCCCGCTCATCGATCGATCGATCCCTAAAATCTCCCGAGCTGCCGGCCTTGTCCCGGCTCCCGGCTCCACAGCCAGCTGGGGGCAAATTTTTCTCTTTTTCTATTTTTTAGGGCTCTTGATCACATTTTAGGGTTCTAGCGTTGGAGCAATGGACACATCGTCGCCGTGCCCCATGGTGAATGGCGAGCTGCTGAGGCGCTACCCTGGGCGGCGAGTGCGCTGCGTGATCAGGGTATCGAGGATGGAAGCTGGGGGCAGTGTGATCGTCGGGCAGACGGCGGACAATGTCCAGGTGACTGTCAAGCAAATGGGGGCGCCTCCTGTGGGAGCGCTCACCGAGTTCGTGGAGGTGATCGGCGTTGCGGAGGGCGATAGGAGCATCCGGGCGGAGACGTGCACGAGCTTTGGAGGCGGCTTTGGTACCCACATTTCTTTCTCTTTGCGGATTTCTCATTCGATTCTTTTTGTCTTCTCTTTTGCTAGATATGTCGATCTACAACCAGCTCTGTCAGATGGCAAATGGGGACTTCCAAGAGCTCTTTGTGTGACCTTGTTTCGGCATTGACAAGATGATCGAGTCGATTTTAAACGTGGAGAAAGTATGGTAGGGAACTTTTTTTTCTTGTTTATATAGTCTATACTGATCAAGATAGAGTTTACGGGTTCTCATTCTTGTTTGCTCGGTTTTTCTAGATATCAGGCTAGCAAATGTTCCTCCGAAGCATCCGGAAAGCGTGCAAGTCTGGTAGGAAACTTTTGCTTGATTCGTTTGCTTGACACCACTGATTGTTCTCAACTTGTACTGAGTCCCTGTTTTCCCTTGCTTCACATCAGTCATTGTTTTCTGAAAGTCTTCTGGCGTAACTCATGCTTACAACATTGATTCTTATAGTTGCACCTAGCTACAGTCAGTCGGTCTTGTGGCTGATTTAATATGATTTTCTAATTTAAAGACTTTTTGTGAAGCTGATACCCATAAAATGATTCTTATAGTTCGGTCTTGTGGCTGATTTAATATGATTTTCTAATTTAAATACGTTTTGTGAAGCTGATAACCATAAAAATCAAGTAGTTTGCCACAAATGAAGTATGGCTGTTTGGTTTTAGTGTTCTTCCTGGCGTTTAGTTTTAGACGTTTCTTTTCGGAAGACACTCTTCCGGCGGGTATGGCGTACAACTATTACTCCAAGAGCTGTCCGCTAGCCGAGCAAGTTATCTATCAAACCATGGTTATTGCTAAGCAGCTGCATGCCGGTATCACCTCGGACGTTACTCGATTGGCTTTCCACGACGCTTTTGTAGAGGTAATTCATTCAAGTCGGGTTTGACAGTGATTGTGAATTCTTTTATTGACAGGGATGCGATGCTTCGGCTTTGATAAAGTCCACGCCGGGAAATCTAGCCGAGATGAATGCCTCCGTGAATAAGTTTCTGGAGGGCTTTGAGTTGATAGACGCTGCAAAGTTTCAGCTCGAGATCTTGTGCCCAAACACAGTCTCGTGTGCTGATATCATCCAGTTTGCAGCTCGCGATGGAGTCCGGCTGGTAAGAATAAATTTAAATCACTCCAAAGTTTACTTTTCTTGTTTGTGCTAGGATGGAGGGCCTTTTTATGCTCTCCCAGGCGGACGACTAGACGGTCGAGTCTCTAAAGCTTCGAGAGCTACACAATTTTTGCCCTTGCCAACAATGAACGTCAGCGAGCTTAAGGCCAACTTTGCAGCCAAGAACTTCACTCTCGAAGAGCTCGCAACTCTCTCAGGTAAAGCTTGTCACGAAAACTCTGACTAACTCTTGAGAAAAAACTTCTTTTGTAGGAGCTCACACCATTGGAGAAGCGCATTGCTCCTCGTTCAAGGATCGCTTGTACAACTTCACGGGAAATGGTGACCAGGATCCATCACTGGATCCAACATATGCGAGAGAGCTCAAGGCAAAATGCCCCCAGTCAGCCACAAGCGATGACACGGTTCCCATGGAGTCGGAGCCTTCCACTTCCAAGGTGAACACAGTCTACTACAGGGACATCCTTCGAAGCAAAAGTATATTTACATCGGACCAGACGCTGGTGAATGATCCCATCACGAGAGCTACTGTTGTCCAGTTCGCTAACAGCACAGAGATCTTCTTCCAGAAGTTTGCAGCCGCGATGCTCAAGATGAGCCTGCTGGAAGTGAACAAACCTGGAGGAGAGATCCGATATCACTGTGGCTCCATTAACTAGCCAAGAATAAAGAAAGTAGAGAAAAGAAAGATCACGCGAGCGAAGGTCAATGAATTCTAGCAGGAAAGCAAAACACTCCTTTCATCCAGGCCGACACGCTAGCTTTTATCGAGCTCCATCCGAGGATCGAAAGTTGAGACGATCTCTTCCTGAGACCGAGATGGAGAATTGCCCCGAGCTCGCCAGGAGTGGAGAAGACTGTGCAGCGGGTCTCTCCAGCTGAGGGAATGCCAACACATCCATGGCACCCTCGAGCATCTTCACCACCACAGACATCGTTGGCCGCTGCAAGGGATCCTCCTGCGTACACCATAACCCGATCCGGAGGATGTTCTCAAAGCCAGTCAAGGAGAAAGCACCACCATCCTCGGCTTTGAGCAGCCGGTCGTCCACCAAGTCCATCGAGTTTCCACTGTCCAGCTTGTTGAAAGCGGTTTGTCCGAGGAACACGACGTCCATCTGTGAGCCCGAGCCCGAGGAACACTCCACGGCCTTCATGCCGCAAACGAGCTCGAGAAGGACGACCCCAAAGCTATAGACGTCAGTCTTGTCCGTGACTCGAGAGTGGAGCCACTCGGGAGCCATGTATCCCACCGTGCCTCGCATGACCGTCACGACGTGACTCTCGTCCTTGTCGATGAGCTTGGAGAACCCAAAGTCGGCGATCTTGGCGCCCATCTTCTCGTCCAGGAGGATGTTCTGGGGCTTGATGTCCAGATGGAGTATCTTCTCGCGGCATCCTTCGTGGAGATAGGCGAGCCCCCGGGCAACGTCGAGCGCGATGGAGAGCCTGGATGCCCAAGGCAGGGAGCTGTCCTTGGCGAAGATCCAGCTATCCAGCGAGCCATTGGGGAGGAACTCGTAGACGAGCAAATTCTGTGGAGAGTGGAGGCAAAATCCAACCATCTTGACGAGATTGAGGTGGTGAATGCTGCCGATCGACATCACCTCCGCCTTGAATTGCTTGTCCCTCTGCCGCACTCCACCTCCGATCCTCTTGACTGCCACAATCTCCCCGCCCGGCAACGTTCCCTTGAACACACTCGCAAATCCTCCTTGTCCCACCTTGCTCTGGAATCCCTTGGTCGCTCGATACACCTCCTGGTACCTGAATTGCCGCGGCAAATCCGCGAGATTGCCGAGATCGAGCGGCCGCTCCCTGACGGCAGCATCGGAAGAGCGTCGCAAGAACTTCCACCACACTAGCCCTAGGAGCGCCAGGACGACGATCGCTCCACTGGAAACCACGGCAATGGCGATATTGCGATCTCTCGTGCTGGAATCCTCGCGCTTCCAGCTCCAAGTGACCGCCAACACATTATCAAAGTAGGTTTGCCCCAGCGCTTCCCACACGGCTCTCGTCCCTCCCAGCGATCTGGGCGAGCACGGCCCATAGAATCCAGTGTCTGCGGTACACCCGATGTTCGATCCACACTGGTCGATCACTGTCGCCGTCACGCTCAGCCCATTCTCCGCCGTGATCACGATCTCTCTGTGGCACGACGATCCATTGGCGAACCACCCCGTGGACATGGACGCCAGGAGCTCCGAATTCCTTGGCGGCGTCGAGCGATTGCAACTCGTAGGGGACTCCTCCAGCTCGATGAAGTAGAATGCCGCGAAATTGCGAGGCTGTTCTTGCGGCGAGCAATTGAAGAACTGGTAGGTGGTGTTGTCGAAGCAAAGTGCTGGGTTGTGGGCGGTGGCATTCGAGTAGACGAAGGTCTGGGCGGGCTCGCAGCCGGGAATGGGGCAGGAAAGAGTGCTAGCTGATGGATCGCCATCGCAGGTCTTACTAATAGGATTGCAAACGAGGCCGCCAGAACAATCGCGCGTAGACTCGCATGTCATGCCGCAGGAGGAGGAGAATTGTTGCGCGGTGGCCCCGGCGAGTGAAGAGATCAAGATCATCGCGAGCGCGAAGAAAGTGGTGCGATGCTCCATGGCTGGAGCTTGAGATGCAAGACCTGGACCTGAAGATGCCAACTCTCGCGGGTAAGTTAGTTTAAAAGCTCTATCTAAAAGTCAATGAAAAGCTTTAAGAATTGGAACTGCTATATGAACCTTCCAGGTATTCTTGTTTGACTTTTCTTGCTTGCCATCAGGATACTGCCAAGCTTCACACTAAACATGACCATAGAAAAAGCACTGATGCGACTTCTCTGATCTCTTTTATTTGATGTTTTGATCATATAATTCCATGGTCGTCGCTATGAACAGTGGTCGTCTGCAGCTATGGAGGTACTCCTGTGCTTCATCATCGTCCTAGCGTGTAGCGCAAAGAGCTTCCACTACTCGCAAGCCCAACAACAGGTATGTTCTTCGTCGACCGATTGCCCAAATGGATCCCTTTGTTTCCCGGAGCCCATGCTCGGCGGCAACCGTTCACTCCAAAACTCGTCCTGCTACCAATCGAGCAATCGATCCGAGCCATACCTTAGCGATTCCGACGTTTGCCAGCCCAGTTCCAGCTTTGTTTTCAATGACACCATCGCTCCAGACTGCCCGAATTGCTGCGTCCCAGGCCTGGCTTACAGGACTTTCACTTGCTCTCCAATTTTTCAAGAGACCAACAATGCCGTCCTATATGTCACAAGATTCAATCTCTCAAGTCCGGGTTCTCTCAGGTCGTGCACGTCCTTCGGGTGGGATTTTGATCTCATGGCGGCGGTGGCCACTGGGTGGTATAACCAAGACCGAAGCTTGTGCTCCACGAATATCCAAGTTTTAGCTCCAAATGGACGAACTGTGGTGGCCAGGGTCGTGGCTCAATGCTACTCCGGGGGAGGGTGTCTCAGCGATTTTTCGTTCACGGAGCCCTGTGCTCCAAATGCCGTGGCAGCGAACGAGCAAGTGTGGAGGCAGCTTGGGTATGATCCAGGCATTGGAATCGTAAAAAATATCACCTGGAGTATCACTACTAACAGTAATCCTCCACAGTCACCGTCTCCAAGACGCATGAACCGCAACTTGGGGTTAATTGCTGGCATAGTGAGTGCTGTGGTGGTGGTGTTGGTTAGTGTCGCAGCCTTCATAGCAACCAGGCGATGGAGGAGATCTCTTGAGAGACGAAGAAAAGATGAGCAAGCGCTCATGGATGGAATGAGGCTCGATAAGTTACTTCCACACCAGTTTAGCTATCACGACTTGAGAGCAGCGACTGGAAGCTTTGCTCCACAGTTCATGCTCGGAGCTGGTGGATTTGGATCCGTCTTTAAGGGGGAGCTTGCAGATGGAAGCCTGGTTGCTGTCAAGAAAATGGATGTAGAGATCGAAGGCTCTACACAAGGACAGTCACAGTTTAAGGCCGAGGTGATGTCCATTGGAAGCATCCATCACTTCAACTTGGTAAGGCTCCGGGGATTTTGCATCCAGGGACCAGCTGCATTGCTTGTCTACGAGTTTATGCCCAATGGCTCATTGGACAAGTGGATCTTCACCAAATACGATGATGGCAAAGCTGGCGGAATCCTGCTGGACTGGAACCAGAGACACTCAATCGCGATAGATGTTGCTCGAGGACTCACGTATCTCCACGAGGGATGCCGGGAGCAAGTTCTTCACCTGGACATCAAGCCGCAAAACATCCTCCTGGACGAGAACTTGCGAGCCAGGATCTCCGACTTTGGCCTGAGCAAGCTCGCCGAGCGAGGAAAGAGTCAGGTGGTGACTGTCATGCGAGGAACTCCCGGATACATGGCACCCGAGTGGCTCCATACCAAAGTCACGGACAAGACCGACGTCTACAGCTTTGGAATTGTGCTGCTTGAGCTCGTAAGCTCCAAGCGGGCCTTGGAATTTCATCCTTTGACATCCTCCTCCTCCTCCTCCTCCTCACAACCGACAGTGCACTTCCTGGGTACAGCCGCATTGAGCATGTTTTACAGTGGCAAAGTTGTGGAGCTCATTGACGACAAGCTCTTTGTCAATAATCTAAACGACGATATCGCCAGCAGCAGTGGCTTGGATTTCAAGGATGCCGAGAGATACCTGAAGATTGGATTGTGGTGTATCCAAGCCGAACCAGCAATGCGACCCTCTATGAGAAACGTATTGGATATGCTTGACGGTAGCGTAGATGTTCTTGAGTTGCCACCACCTTCAAGTGATGGTAGTTCGAGAAACTTTAGCTTGCGACCACCTGAATCCTCTAACTTCAGCTCCACCAGTTTGTAATGTTACACCACTATATTGAAACTCTGAAACGTCCCACAAGAAATATCTCTGGAAAAGCAATCAGCTTCATTGTAAATTAGTTGTGAAAACCAACTTAGTGTCACAGTCTGGGTGGTGTAGTTGGTCATCACGCTAGTCTCACACACTAGAAGTCAACCCGGGCACGAGCATTTTTCGATATGGTGCCGTGTCGAAGCCAAATCCGCGTAGTCAAAAAGACGTTGACTTCGTAGCCATAACCGCGTACAAACACTTCATAAACCCCTTCACGAGCCTTCTTCAGACGATATTGATTTTTGCGATCAACAATGACGCAAACTTGTCTGAGAGTTTCCACTGCACGTCTTTTGAGCTGCTTGTCCCTTGTTCTCGTTATCACGTCCCGTGTCCATGCAGACATTGTCCTGGTCGGAGCAAACAATGCCGAGGACACCGACGGTGGCAAGCGCTTCAACTCGGTGATGGGGATCTCCGGGGCCTTCAAAGTCCTGGGCGATGCAATCAACTTCATCCCGCCGCTGTTGCACTATGGTCTCGACGGTGTTCCCACAAAACTAGTGACCAAGGTTGTCTTCACGGTCGAGAAGCAGCTCCAGCAGGGTGCGGTTGCGATCACATTTGGGACGGGCAGTCCCGGCGAGTTCCAGATCCAGTTTAATGCTCCATCTGCCGATAACTACGAGGGGATCAAAGGGGTAATATACCACGAGATGGCTCACGTTTGGCAGTACTTTGGGCAAGGAACTCCCAGTGGAGTGACTGAAGGAGTGGCTGATTATGTCCGGCTCAAAGCCGGGCTCGCTCCATCTCACTGGGTGAAGCCGGGCGGTGGTGATCGCTGGGACCAGGGCTACGATGTTACTGCCTATTTCTTTGATTACTGCAATAGCCTCCGTGGAGATTTTGTGTGGCAGA